ACCATATGACACGGACTTAGCTGGTTTTGCCTAAGTCGTGCGGCACCCTTGCACGTCCGTCCGCAAAGGTCAGCCTCCCCGAAGCCTCCCATTGTCCCTTCCGACCAACAAAAGAGAGAACGGGTTAAAGAGAACGCCACAAACGGGATCCACAAGCAAACATGTCCGAAAAACACTTCATAGACAAAGCAAATTACAAACAGACTATTACAAGCTCTGAACAGTGGCACAACAAAGGGTAAAATGGTCCATTACAGACCGAAAAGCTCTCGAGCGTGTCCACATGACACAACCTTTATTTACAAGCCTAAAGAGGCCACCAACCCAACTAAAATGGGGCTATTAAGCCTTCGGCCGCCCCTTTACATTCTGTACAAGGCATGAACATGCCAAAAGACACGGACATACATAAGCATTACATCAAACACCTTGTTTAGAAGTTTGTCCGTGACAAAGCGTCGACGAGGGCATCGACAGTTTAAGTGGGGGAGAATGTCACGAACGGTCGTCGCGCACCCGCAACAACTCCGTTCAACGAACCGTTCGTCGCTCACACCTGCATGTACAGCTGCTTAACAGCATGTTTTCTTATGGTTTTGGGTCATTTTGCTTGTAAATATGTAAGTTCAAACAAGCTGCAGCGTTGCAAAGCGACCGCTCACCGAACCGAGCAAAACAGCCCCAAAACAGCCCAAAACAGCTTCGTTTTCGCGTGCCGCGGGAGGTGAGCGGAGAGCTGCCTCCGCTCACCAAAATGTCAGCCATCTCAGACCCCAGGAACCCCCCGGGTGGCACAGGGCTGGATGGGGCTTCGGTTATATACCGGGCGTTGAACACTCCTTCGCAAGTTCGCACGTGACCTTTACGGGAACTTGGTGTTGCGTCCGGGACCAGGTGAGCGGCTGTTTGTGGGCTTGCAGCTGTTCGTTCATCGTTGAAAGCCTTGTTTTTCTCCCTCTCCCTCTTTTCTCTTGTGCACACAAGGTGTTCGACGAATTGCTTATAAAGCTTCCCTTTTCGCGAGACTTCGGGACTTGTCCGTTGCTCGTTCTTTCGAACTAACTTCTTTCTCTTTTACAGGTCCTTCGGGACCTGCGAGAGGTTACAAAGTGGGCTGATCCTTGCGGAGCAAGATCGCAAGGGCGAAGCGCGACTTAGGCAACGCAAGCTAAGTTCGCGTCTTTGGCCGCAAGGGTGCCGCACGCCTTAGGCAATTCCAGCTAAGGTCGTGACAGTACAGGATGGGGGGTGATCCATGTAGGTTAAAGCTCGGATTATCACGATCAGTCATCGCGCACCTATAACAACTTCGTTCAACGAACCATTCGTCGCTTTTGTATATTTGTACAGATGCTTGGCAGCATATTTTGCTTTAGTTTTGTGTGTTTTTGCTTGTAAAAATGTAAGCTTGAATGGTTCGCAGTGCTGCAATGTGATCGCTCGTCGTGCTGGGCAAAACTGTCCCAAGATGGTTCTGTTTTTGCATACCACGACTTGTTTTCTGTAGACCGCATGCGAAACGTCAGTCATCTTAGCACCCTGGAACCACCAAGGGGGATGGGGCTTCCGGGTAGTATTGAGTGTTGAACAATCTTCACAAGTTCGTGCGTTAACTTGACGGGAACTTGTCTTTGTGCCCGACACCCGATGAGCAATTGTTTGCGGACTTGCAACTGTTCGTTCAACCTTCTAAAGTCTTGTTTTCTCCTTCCTCTCTTGCACTCAAGATGCTCGCTGAATTACTTATAAAGCTTCCCTCTTTGCAAGGCATCGAGATTTGTCTGCCGCTCGTCTTCAAACTAATCAACTTGTTTTATAGGTCCTTTGGGACCGGTACGAGGTTGCAACTAGGCTGATCCTTTTGAGGACACATATATCGCAACGGCACCTCATGACTTAGGCAATTCCAACTAAGTCCGAGAAGTTGGTGCAAGGGTACTTCACGACTTAGGCAATTCCAGTTAAGTCCGTGAATTTGCTGCAAGGGTGCTTCATGACTTAGGCAATTCCAGCTAAGTCCGTGACAGGATGGTACATATTGCTAGTTTCGTACTTTCTTACTAGTCTAGCCAAAACATCAAACCATGCTTTCTAGTGAATATGTTCATGCAACATCCTTAAACCAAGCTCTTCATAATTAAGAAAGCATAGGTGCCATAAAACCAAAATTGGTTTTCCACCACTCAGTGTTTGATTTCTGTTTATGTAGTATCCAATTGTAAGTATGTCTCAGTTTATATTTCTCCAGTTTTTCCATCCAACCTCCTCTTGACATCTGCCTTGCCATTCTCTTTTCTGCACATTCATCTTCATTTTATAATCCTCTTTCACCAGCAACTATTAAGGCTTTGCATGATTTCAGAATTGTTTGAATAGGCAAATGATATTATGCTCTTTCCAAGAAACACATTCTACCTACATCTTCTAGATGCCACTAAATATTTTATATGATCAAACTTCTAGCATAAAATATAATACAGTACATAGTCCAAAACATGCCTTCATCATGATGAACTCTTTAACACCAAAAATCATGCAAGACAGCACAAAATAGAAATCATGAATAAAAGAACAACAAAATGAAAACATGTAGAAGCCATTGAAACATGAATATGTACCAAAAACAATCTGCATTACTTACCTACAGGTATGAAGGTGAAATCTGCTATTCTCTTCTCAATAGCTCGAATGATTTTATCTTGTCCTCTTCTAAGAAACATCCCTGAGCTTGTCCGAACCCTGAAAAAAAGCTATTACAGTTAGACATATCAAATTAACATAGAAATCCAGAACATCTTAAGAGACATCTGTGATATGTAAACCTGCTATCTGTACTCCGCCCAGTAGTGCTATCTACAACTGTTGACTTCTTCATATAAGGCTTTGCCAGTTCAATTAGGTACTTGCACTCTTCCTTGGACTGACAAACATATAAAATATCAGTATTTGTGATTTCACATGAATATCATTCACAAAACACAATAGAATTAGAAAAATAAAAATCTAACATGCAAGTTAGATGCCACGGCCAAAAGTTGGATGTTAATCTAGACCAACCCAAAATCAATGTCAGCACTTGAGGCCACTATACTGTTGAACAATTCTCTTATTAAGCCATATTTAAGTTAATACTAACAGAAAGCTAACAGTATCCATTTACAATGACGTCTTAAAATATAGTATGGCCAAAATTCAACTATGAAACCACACATCAAATCATGAAATTTCCTTAACAAATTCAATTTGAGAAAAGGCCCACAAGACAGTTAAGTTTTACAACATGTTGTTTTTAAATTTCAAGTATATGATTCTGCATTGAACAATAACTGTGTGAATTGCCCTACAAGCAAATAAAAAGCCAAGTGAAAGGTAAATTCTGACCTAAATTTTAAATTTTGAAGAAAATAATTTTAAAATAATGCATAGGTGTGAGTTGGCATTGATAAGGACATGATCTTTAAAAAAAATTCTAATATGGTATGATTTAAAATTAATTAAAAAAAAGATAAAGGAGGATGCATTTGGTAAACAAAGTTATGTTGTGGTTTTGATTTAATGAAAATGAAACACATCACAACAGATGTGCAGATTAATGTCAGAAAAGATGCTGATGAATTTTGAATACTTAAAATAAGGGAAACCAATCAACTCACATATAAATGAGGAAGATACTAAAAATATTCATGAATCTAAGACGAACAGAAATGAATAAAGAATCACTGACATATAATGGGTTTGGCTCACAACTTAACTTCACAATTTTGGCTTTTGAATTATATTGCTGTCCAATCTTTATATGTATGTGTGTGTATATATTAGCCTCGACCAAGATTTGAATCTCTGAGAAAAAAATTCTAACATACCAATGCGGGTCTCGTACCATGCAAAGCATGCACCAATGTATCTTCGTTACCTCATGTAGGATGGTAATGGTGTTTCATCTATTCCATGTTGGCTGACATGTACTAACCCACTGAGAAATGTTAAAGTAATCATACATGAGATAGGTATCTTGATTCTTGAACGCAACTCCTTTATGCCAAATTTGGAATACACTGTCAAATGTAAAGCTTTTATTGTATTACATTTACATGTATAATCTAACTTTATTAGCAAACCTACTAAAATATCACTTTTCTTTATTCCAAAATTAAAAAATAAACAAGAATGGTTTGATGATCTGTGAAAGCTTGTTGTGGCAAATGCCTCATCTTAAAAAGGAGGAAAATTTTACACAAAATTAATAAATCCAATGGCATTTAAGCACAAATAAGATGCTCCAGTTGTATCATCCATCATATAAATGGAAACATTACCAACACATTATCTCGGTCCATAGATGGTAAATTCAAGGGACATTATGATGCTAATCTATGAATACTGTCACAAAATATACAACCAAAGGTATGTTGTGCCTTGCCTTGTACTAGGAAACTGGTGGCTGGATTTACATCCTTTTATCTTGGTCATGATCATGCACTCATATTATGTCTTGTTCAGCGCCTGGATAATGCAAATTCAGCGATGGTGGCATCTCAACAATTATTCTTGGAAGGTGACAGTTTCTAAATTTTGTATGACCCCTCTGATAGCAACCACAACTAAACGATAGCCGATCTTTTTTCCCATATGCAAGAAATGAACTGTAGATTATAAATCACTCATATCCAGAGATTGCGTCCATCCTAATCTATGATTATGAAGATCTCATCTACTAAATGTTTCAACACAGAACAATATTTTTCAAGTGCTTGGATATATATACTGGCACTATTCAGCAGGCATCAACAAGACAATAACAACATCACACGCCAGTACAATGACAGCATTGCGTCTACAATAGCATAATTGGTACCTTAATCCATGCTCGATACGTGAAATCTAGGAAGGAGTTTATCTGCTTGTGCATGAAATGATTATTCTGCATAATAACTTACCTTTCTGGAAATATATTTGTAACAATCTAGATATATGGCACCTAACATGAGACCCTAGCATAATTGGTACCTTAATCCATGCTCGATACGTGAAATCTAGGAAGGAGTTTATCTGCTTGTGCATGAAATGATTATTCTGCATAATAACTTACCTTTCTGGAAATATATTTGTAACAATCTAGATATATGGCACCTAACATGAGACCCGTGATGCAAATTACCCATCTTAAGGTAGCTAATATGTTCATCAGCAAGAAAGCTTAGACTATATCAGGATTAAACAGATAGTCCTATGTAACTGTTTCCCAACTCTAAATGGAAAGATTTGTTCATAAATTCGAAGATTTCACATAAAGAATGAATCCTTTGAACAATACGTTGACACAATTCAGCACAACTAATATCTAAGCACGCGGTAAGATCAAGAATAAATACCAGGAAGTTGTGATAGAGGAAGGCCCTCGGTTCCCACGAGAGTACTTCCGTCCATTGCTCCCCTGTCTCCTGGAGTTCATCTCTCCTGCGAATTCTCAAATTCAAGAGGAACAGTGTGAAAGAAGAAAGCCTTCAGATCGACCAACACAAAGAACGAAATCATAGCGAGCGATTCGTCCGTACGCCTCGCCGACGGAGCGGCGTACTTCGGCCACGCGGCCGTCCTTGGAAACCGCGGGGAGGGACAAGGCGCCGAGCGCGAGGAGCACCAGCAGGACGACGGAGATGGTGAGGAGGGCCACTAGGATCAGCGTCGGAGGTCTCCGGGGGTGGCGCGCGCCCCTCGCCATGGCCACCGCCCGCTGAGCAAGTCCACCGAACTTAGTTTCCTTGATAAATTAGAATAAGTTGGCAAGTAAAAAAGGAATATTTTTAATCTGGTGCCTTAGACCAGAAGGCCATCCCAACTGGCGCCTATAGAACTATCGAAAGCGGCACTTTAGTTTCCTCTGATAAATTAGAATAAGTTGGCAATCGTCAGAAGTAAAAAAGGGATATTTT